TGTCAAATCAGAAAGTCTTAATTTTACTTACAAAACAATTATCAAATTAGGATGTGGCATGAAGTTTTGTCTATACACTATTTGCTTTGATTGCCACCTAATACAACTATATCTCTTATGAGCAAACTTATGGTTATTAATAATTCTCTTTGGGTGAGTATGATTTCGTTGGTTGGCTAAAATAGTCATATTTTCATCTAAGTACTAATCATTCATTGTTTTGATTTAAGTATGACTGCTTATTTTAATGTACTTTAGGGAGGGATGACAATGTCAGATCATATAGACCTGCTTGTTGAGCAAGTTAAGATGCTTGCTGGAGAGATTGCACTTGGCACCAGCTCCTTGAAGCGATTGGTGGAGCAGTCTGTAAATGATCCTGATAGCGCGAAAACTCAAGTATAAATTCCATTTATTCTTAGTAATCCTCTTCCGCATCATTATTTTTAGAAGTGCTAATATGCATTCCTTTTTAAAAATTTAGCATTCACCATCCTAAATAATTTAGGAGTTTACAGCTTCATTTGGCAGCTGCAGAAGTATGTTTATTTTCCTTAAAATGACCCTAATGAACAACCATGCATGCTTACAGATTGAGAACTTGGAACGTGATATCCATGAAAAGAGAAGGCAAATGAGAGTTTTAGAACAGCGCATAAACGAAAGTGGCGAGGCTTCAATTGCCAATGCATCTTTAGTTGAGATGCAGCAGGTAGTTTTGCGTTCTCATCATCTTCATTATTATAAGTAGTTCTCATTTTTTGTTGTACTGTTGTCAACAGATAGCTGAAGCTTTGTTTTAATCGCTTTCATTTTCTTCTGCAACAGACAGTTAAAAGACTGACGACCCAGTGCAATGAGAAGGGATTTGAGTTGGAAGTGAGTGAATGTATTACTATATCAGTATGATGGACATTAAATGGGCAGTGTTTCATTTATAAATTTCATGTAACACTTTAATTTTTAGTTTTCTTTTTGATGTTATAACATTTGCCCAATGCATTATAATGGCGGTATAATTTATTCTTTTAAGTGTAACGTTCATGCAGATAAAATCAGCAGACAATCGTATTCTTCAGGAGCAATTGCAAAATAAGGTTAGAATATTTCATCTTCCTTGGTTCCTTTCAGTCATATTCTTTGATTAATTTTTTATTCTATCCGGCTGATTTATCTGAAGCTTTCTTCCGTGTTTCAGTACAGACTTTTATTTCCTCTTGTTATATTTCTGAGCTATCTTTGTTTATTTGCAGTGTGCAGAGAACGTGGAATTGCATGAAAAAGTGAATCAGTTAGAGCGACGTTTGGCTTCAGTGTCTGGTGAAACGTCTTCCGAGCACTGTGTATCTGAAGAATATGTTGAGGAGCTCAAAAAGAAAATTCAGTCTCAGGTGATTATTTGAACTTTCTAGCTTATAAATCCATAGAGCTTGATAGATTAGTAGTTTTTAGCTGTTACCATTAGTGTCAAAGTATTTTGCCATACTCTTGACTTGCACTCCTGTTTTAGTTTATTATTCTTGGTTAATTCATGTGAGCTTTCATGTAGAACCTATAGTTCCTCTGTCATTATTACTTGACAGTGAATTTTTTCTTTTGTTAGAATGGTGCAGTCTATAGTTTTGTGTAGTCATTTCTTTTTTGTTTTCGCATAACTTCATTAATTTCAGTTTTTAATCTTTCTTGTATCGTGCCTGAAGATGCTATTGTACTAATGTAAGAGGTTGCTTTAGCTTTCATGCTATACTTCTAACTGGTTGATGCTTTTGTTCCTTCTCATAGGAGATAGAGAATGAGAAACTAAAGCTGGAGCACGTCCAGTTCTCAGAAGAGAACAGTGGGTTACATGTGCAAAATCAAAAACTGGCCGAAGAAGCTTCTTATGCAAAAGAACTGGCATCTGCTGCTGCTGTGGAGTTGAAGAATTTGGCTGGTGAAGTGACAAAGCTCTCACTGCAGAGTGCAAAACTAGAGAAAGAGTTGTTGGCTGCTCGGGAGTTGGCCAATTCTAGAAGCTCTGTTATGCAACCTGTTAATGGTGCTAACCGCAAGTACAATGATGGAGCAAGATCTGGGAGGAAAGGGAGGCTCTCTGGTCGTGCTAATGAGATATCAGGGATGTCTGATGACTTTGAGTCATGGAATCTTGATGCTGATGATTTAAAGATGGAACTTCAGGCAAGGAAACAGCGAGAGGCAGCTCTTGAGGCTGCCCTTGCTGAAAAGGAATTTGTAGAAGAGGAATACAGAAAAAAGGTTGAAGATGCAAAGAAAAGGGAGGAAGCTCTAGAAAATGATTTAGCAAACATGTGGGTGTTGGTTGCAAAATTAAAAAAAGAGGGTGGATCTATCCCTGAGACACACACAGAAGAAAGGCACAATGATGTGATGAGAAATAGTAATGGTTTAAAAACAAGTGACAGTAATACTGTCCCCAAAGAGAGACAAGTTTTGGATGTTTCGAAACCAGCTGATGATGAAAGTCCTATGGAAGAACCTCTCGTTCTTCGCCTCAAGGTAACCTGAGAATCTGCATTATCTTTTAACGTTATTGTTCTAGATTGTTTTGGAATTCTTTTGCAATTTGTTCGGGAGACATATTAAGAGATGATCGATTCTGTTTTAAGGTTTGTTTAGTGTTTTTAAACCAATGAGACAAAAGCTCTCAATGATGTTTTAATGGCTTTGAGGACATGAAAACTAAAGGAGGCTACTACTACATAAATTTAAAAGGATGATATTTTATTAGGTCAATTAAGTTTGGACCTAAAACATCTTTGCATAGAGATTAGGTCCACTTGGCTCAATCAAAATGGTTTTATTCTAGATGTTATCATGCTTATGATTGTGAGGGATCAGCCATTTTTGGGAAAAGCATGTGGAGGTCAAATCTGCTTAAGAAGAAAAAGATTAATGAATTATATTGTAAAGTATATTAAAAGCTTGACAGTTTTTGTGCACCATCCTTTTATTTTTTCAGGCTCGAATGCAAGAGATGAAGGACAAAGAGCTCAAACACCAGGGCAACGGAGATGCCAATTCCCATCTGTGTAAAGTATGTTTTGAATCACCAACTGCAGCAATTCTTCTGCCCTGCCGGCATTTTTGTTGTAAGTCATTCTGAAGCTGTGTTTAAAAAAATACAATATATGCTCATCATTTCTTATGGTAAGTAACTATGGTACCTTTTGCAGTGTGTAAATCTTGTTCACTTGCTTGTTCCGAGTGCCCAATTTGTCGTACAAAGATTGCAGATAGGCTTTTTGCATTTACCTCATAACACTGTTGTATGCCCTCAAATGAAGGTAATGCAATATGTTAATATATATTTTTTCCCTTTGGTTATTTTCGGATTAAAAAAAAAGCAAATCCTATCTGCTAAGGTTCCTTATAAGAGGGCGATGCCATAACATTTATTTCATCAATTTGCAGTATTGGATCGGTAACTTAACGAGGATGGTTTTCATTTTGTTTTCAACTTTTTATTTTGCAGGGCCTTATCATGATTCTGTTTTATGTGAAATAGCGGGTGCCATTCTTTAATTAGTTTGCCTGTATGTAAACTGTGTAAAAGGTATATCAATATTTTGTTTCTATCTCTCTCACCTGGGTCCTGTAAAATAACAAGGGACAAAGTTGGGAAATAGAAACCAATCAAATTTGGGAGTTTGAGATGCAGAATGTTGCTTTGTTTGGAGTATGCAGCAAAATGTTGTGATTGAAACCATGTATAGAAAAAGAAAAAACAATGTAATGCTTAAGAAGCAATATTCTTCCACCTCTGCAATGTTAATTCATTATTTCACTGTTCTTTTCTTTTGGGTCATTCCTGTCATTTCTTGAAGCAGAAATATGCACGGTGGGATTTTAGGGTTGACTTTTTTGTTTTTGTTTTTGGGTGGTAAATAAATGAGTAGTTATCTTGTTTCCTACAACATAGTGGGTTTATTTACCCAAAAAAAGAGAGAACATAGTGGGTTGTTTGCATTGTGGTTTTCACTGATTTTGAGCCAATCTTTTAAGTCACCATAAAAATAATGTTCAATGAACAGAATGTAGATGCGAGTAGATTTTGGATTTGACTTGCATGGATGCATTAGTTTGATTTGGTTCAGTTTCTTTCGTGATTTTTGTCGAAACCGAACCAAACCAAACCAAATCATTCTATATTGTAATTAGTTAGACCGCAGCATTGGATGAAACCAAACCAATCTGCACCTTGCTTGCCCCTAATATTAAACGATGGGAATGACTTTGCTATTCCAGTTGCACTACCCCCTCTCCGTCCTCACGATGGGAATGACTTTACTATTCCAGTTGCACTACCCCCTCTCTGTATCTGTATCATATCTATGTCCTCTGTTCCTCACGCCCTATTAGCTCTATAGAGAAGTTGAAGCTGCGATTGCTTGAAAGTCAAAACCTTTTCAAATGTTTCTTTGGTAGCTCCCTTTCTTTTGGGGAACCATCCATATCCAGTAACAGTTGAGGATTAAAATAGGCATTCCACAAGGACTTGCATAAACTTGTGAAGTTGAAATAAAGCATGAGGACACTCACTCCCATGACAGAAAAAGGAAAGGACACTTTTGGAACAACCATTATCAAATAAAAACCTTGAAAAAGAGATGTTTATACAACAGATTATCAACAGCTTCGCATTTCTTGAAGGAACTGAGAGACCAGCATCAGCCCCCTTCCTCTGCTGAACTGAACTGAACTGAACTGCCTTTTTCTTTTTATTCATCATATTTGTAAAACCAGTCTCGGGGTCATATGGAGTTGCAGGTGAAACTTGAGCTACCCAGATGGCCAAATTGTTCTGATGACAAAAAAAAACTTATGTTGTTTTCAAGATCTTGCTTCACCAAAAGCAGAGCAAATCCCACAAAAAAACACCAGCAAAAGTGGCCTTGTTATCAGCCAAATATACATCACCATAACAATGGCTTCTTTTTCTCTTTGGTTTTTTCAAATCTCTGTAAGGTGTGCTGCCAACCTCAGAAACCATCGGGAGCAAATGAAAAATCGAAAAAGTCTTCTACATGCCACCCAGGCAGCGTCTCCATCAGATACTCTGATATGCTGCTTGTTGAAACAGAGCCATTGTCACTGCCACAATTCTCTCCTGTCTTGTAGGAGGAAGACGACGTCGTTTGCTCCACTGATGGGGAGCAATTCAAGGCCTCATCAGAAACTGTTTTGGGTATCTTTGAAGAAGACTTGGAGGCTCTTGCATCAGTGGTATTGGCCACTTGAGAGAAGCCAGAGCATGAGGAGGATGAGGTTGGATATAAAGAAGCAGCAGCTGAGAGCTTAACGCCTGGAAGAACAAACCTGTTGTGCTTCTGTGTGTGCTCATTGGTTTTGTGAATCGAAAAGTCGCATTCTCTGCAAAGAATAGCTCTGTCTTGTTGACAAAACAGAAATCCGCGCCTCTCCTGCAAAACCCACCAAGAAAATGAGAAACCAGAGCACTTTTGTATTGAAAATTATCATTGTTTATCAGCAAAAAACAGAGAATTCTGTTGAGAATGCATTACCTGGCAGATATCACAGAGAGGGGAGTCTTTGAAAGTGGGGTGGAGAAGACAGAAGCGCTTGTGCTTGCCGGCCAGCTTGTTTGCGTAGTGAACACGGCGATCACAGACATCGCAGAGAGCAGCTTCATCTGCAGAGCAGAAAACAGTGGCCTCTTCTTTCTCGCACACATCACACCGGATCTTCATGATCTCTAAATTTCTATGCAGGCTTGTGATGTGCTGTGTTTTTATGTTCTTTTAAGGTGTTGATGGGTGCAAAAGAAATGTTATGGGGGAGACTGGGATGCAGAAAAAGTTGAGTATGGGCTTCTGGGCATTGGCTAGGGAGGACCACAGAGAGAGAGAGAGAGAGAGAGAGAGAGAACAGCTAAGCTCAGAGAAGGTGTGTGCCTTTACTGTTTCTGTCTTTGAGAAAGCTGATGTCTCTTTCTCTGTCTGTCTCTCGACTATGTATTTATTTTCTTTCTTTCTTTGAGTAAAGAGGAGGCAGCTACCAAGGCTTTTTCTTTTCTTTTCTGGCTAATTATATCCTATCCCAACCAGACTTTTCAGTGTCATTAGTCTGAGAATATTTGGGGTTGGAGATGGACATCTTGGCAAACATTGATCCTAAACTCTCTCTCTAATATAGTGGGAATGTGAGAGAGAAAGAGAGAGTGGTAAATCCCTCCCTTTTTCTGCTAAGAATAATATTTATAGGGTTAATCGTTTTATTAGTTCCTGAATTTTGACCCGATTTGTATTTGAGTATCTCAATTTCCAAAATGGTTCTCGTGGTCCTTTAACTTTAGTTTTGTTTGGACAAATGGTCATGTCGTCAATTTTGTTAACTTTTTTTGTTAAATGTTAGGGCAAAATGGTATTTTTATATTAAAACCAAAAAAATGAATAAAAAATCATATCTTTAAAAGAACAATGAAATCAAATCAAATAAAAAACCAAAAAAATAATAATTTGTGGGGAGTAGAAATCGGGATAGAGGGGGGAGAGAGAGTTTAATCTTAATTTTTTAGTTTTTAAAATTTTTTATTCATATTTTAATCAATTTTGATACAAAAATATCATTTTGCCCCTGCATTTAACAGAAAAGTTAACAAAATTGACGGTAGGATCATTTGTCCTAACAAAACTAAAGTTAAAAGACCACGAGAACCATTTTGAAAATTGAGGTACTCAAATGCAAATCGGGTCTAAATTTAGAGACTAATAAAACAATTAACCCTATATATAATAAGGAAGAAAGAGAGGTGATGTGGATGGAGCAGTGTTAGCATATGGGAGACCAAATCACAAAGTAATTAAGAGGTTTTGCTTTCCTAGTTATTCACATCTCGATGACTCAACTATTGATGCATGTACAATACAATTCACAAGAAATTTTATGGCTTGTGTGAATGTTAACAGTATTAAATCTCATATCTTGGACTTCTACATTTAGTATCAATTGATTTTAAGTTGGATGGTCACATTCTAAACATATTTTCTTTTTATAAGGAAAAAAATAATACAAATGATTATTATGGAGTGCAAATGCCGACTCCCTTTTATTGTTTGCATTTATTTATATGAAAAAACTTGGCTCCTTAAATCTAAGAAGGAGCTCCTCCTTACAATCAATGTGATTTTGACATTTGTCCAAAAAAATTTTTTTTTTGTTGGTGAAACTTTGTCAATGTTGCTTGAATTTGATAAGTGTCAAAACTCCATTGATTTTAAAGAGGAGCACCTCAAAACATAAATGAGCAAAAAGTGCAAAGAGAAAGAAAGTATGTATACACAAATATTATATATAGGATACTACTTCTCCTTCATAATGAATCACAGTATATGAAAAAAAAAAAAAAAAAAAAAAAAAAATGCACACATGTCACATTGTTATTGACAGGAATATAAGAACTCCTACGCATACCTGATAAGAAAGGAATATTATATATATTATAATATATTGGAGAGATTATAGATGCACAATTTGGCAAGTAGGATTCAATCAAATCTATAAAAAGTTGTACTAGCCGCATGCTGTCATTGTCGGTACCCACACCAGCTACCCTCTTCTTCCCCATAATTGTGTGTAGGAATGAATAGATTGGAAAACGGAAAGGCAAACCAAACCAGAAGGGAAATGGTCCAATCGGTCCTTTTCTTCAAGACACGAATTAAAAAGGTCTAATTGGACGTTAAAAACAAGCCTTGTCGTTTTGGAGCAAAATATTTTACCACTGGCTCTTAGAATTGGCACAATTTAGCTCAAGTGGTAAGGAGCTCGATGATTCCCCATATTCGATTCCGTACACTGTAACAAAATAACAAGTATTTTTTTTTAATCCCTAAAGCTATAAATCTCTAAAGAGGTAAAAAAAGAAGAAGAGTAAATTGTTATCTTCTCTTATGAACCCTTTTGTTTTGGTCAACCACTTATATGAATTCTCGTGTGCTCAAAGTCCATGACGTACAAACATCTCTACCTATCAAAAGCAACATTTTTCAAACATCACAACATTATCTGCATCATCAACAAGATTTATATACGATTTTGATTCGGTGTAAAAGAAAATTCAAATTCGATACATTTAAATCTCATCATACTTATTAAGTTAGATAAATAACAAGTTTACCAACTCTAAAACTTCAAACCCCATCTTTTCAAATCCCATAATTATAACCATTTGGAACATATGGAAAATTTGTCTTTGCCTTGTGCATTAGAGGACCATTGACTTAGGTGACTTTGTTGGTAAGTCTCAACTAAACCTTTAGGAATTGATTCAATTCAAGATTTAACAAAATTAGAAACGTGGTTGGCAGCTCCTCCCATCATATATGGATTGACCTTGATGCACGTTACAGTATGGGAAAGCAAGAACTTCTAAGAAGATTGCAAATAAAAAACATGGGCAAAGCACTAGAGGACAAAAGAACACTTTTTCAGACCTGGATATGGAAGATCTTGAGACTGAATCATTAAACATAAAGAACGTGAAGAAGATAAGAGAAAGAGAGAAGAACATCTCCTATTATATCTTTATAAATTATCATTATTAATTAATTAATTAATTAATTAATAATTATTTTTAATTTTGGTTGTAAAGTTCCAACCTCCTCACATGGATGGTATTTTATTTTGGAACATAAATAAGACCATCTGAAAAGCCACTCACTTGCTCACTACTCATTGTCTGTTTGTCACAAATTTTTTATTGTCATAAGACACTTTTGGCAGTGATAAAATATATGTACTTGGTGAACTTTTTGATCTCTTGGGGAGATCTTTTGTGTTCTCTAAAAAGTCTTTAAAAGTCAAGAACAAATTTTTACGGATCTGCCAAAGCACGACACCAATTAGGTTAAGTCTTGAAAGATACGACGTATTTGGAGATGAAAGCACGATACCAATGTTAATTGTGTTCAAGTCTTGAGTTGGATTTGTCAACTTTTCAGGACCCTCATAACAGTATTAGGTCTTTTTTTAGTGAATATTTGCTTGGAGTCTGTAGGCTTCGAGCCATTGTTTAATTTATTTGTTGAGCGTTAGCCCCCTTTCTTCACCAAAAAAGAAAAAAGAAAGCATATAATACTAGTGGTGGATCCATGAATTTTCTTTCTCTAAGCAAGAAAACACTATTGCCAATAGTGAAGATTAATCGACTCTTAAATGAAAAAAAAAAACAAAAACACATCATGCACAAATTAGATAACATAAAAGTCCAAAGAACAAAAAGAATAACATAAGTAGAGGATAGAGGTTGCCCCCCTTGCCTTGCCTTAGTCTTCTTTGAGGCATTTTATCAAACAGTTTGCTTCCATCTAACACCAAATTTCATGAAAATTTAGCGCACCTTCATAGATAAAGAACATGATTGTGCCTTCACTGGACCCTAAATGGACCCGCCAATGCATAATACGCACTGAATATCGGTCTAATAACAGTGCTCCTTTACTTTATTAAAAGAGTTCTCAAATTAGAATCTCATCTCCTTTGAATTTTTTTTATTTAAAAAAAAACAATAAATTGCATATTAACATAGCATGTCTATTCCAAAATTAAGTCACGTCATTTCCAAAGTTAAATGAATTGAATATAAAGTACCTACTAAGAGTGTGAATCATATTGACAAGATGTTGACACACACATTACAACTATGTAACACCAATGCATTACTTTTGGGTCCGTGTCCAAAGTGTTATTTTATCATGTAAACAATTAGAATCATACTCAAATAAATTCATAGTGAGTTAGCACTTTTATCAATCATAGGATTATATTTTTGACATTAGGGCATAATTATGATTGATTTGAAAGATCATGGACCAAAGTGTAATTGACCCTATTATTAACAAATAACAAAACAGATATTGATCCAAGATTTAGGGAAGCAAAGCTTAAATATCTTCAAGAATGCTCCTTGTGATAAAGTTGAAGTCTCAACTCATTCATTCATGCATGTGGTTGAGTGGCAAATGAGGGATGGCCTTGATTTGGTTCTCTTCTTTGGAACTTGTGTGTTAATTAGTTGCCCTTCTTCATGAAGAAGAATTGTACGTGCACACTTCGCTGATGCTGATTTCATAGGATGGATTGATTGATGACAAAGTTGAAAAAGAAAAAAAAAAAGTGTTTTGTCAATTTGTGGTCAATTAAATAATTAAGTCATCATGTGGTACTTAATACTTATATAATTATTTTCTGTTAAAACAAACTTAGGATTTGCACACCATTAAGAAAAACATTAGGGTTTGGGCCACTAAACATAGGGTTGTTGGGTTGAGTTGCAATTCTCATCTCTTGGTACCTTTGGTCATGGGAACTCATGAAACCAAATTACTTTTGTGTCTTAATTGACCATCTTTCGTATCTCTAAGGCGTTTGGTTTCGAGGAAAATGGGTTTGGATGATTTCTCATATTTGGTAAGTCTACCTAGCTCATGAGAAAATAAGAAGGAAACTAAAACCCTCCCTTCATAGTGTAGAAATACTTTGTTGAGATTTGACCTAATTTTAATGTCAATCATTGAAATTTGATCAAATAATAGACTGTGACTGACTAAACGAACTAGCTCTGAGTATAGTGATACTTCTCTTTAAGAATCAGTCCCCAATTTGAAACGATTTATGGATAAACACTCATGGAGAAGTTCTTAGATTGGTATGGGCCCATTTGAAAACTGGACCTTTTGGGGGGCCTAAA